ACCAAATCAGGAAGGTACAACTGTAGCTTTGGCTATTAGTGATTTCTTCTTGAGGTTTGGTATGCCATACGAACTGCATTCTGATCAAGGCCGTAAGAAACTTTACCTAGTTTTGAGAAAAAAACAGTGAAGCCGTTAATGAAGTTACTATCACTGACGTGACTGCTACCGATAATGGGATATTTCCTGATGGAGCAGATGAATCACACGTAAAGCAGAAGCCAATGAGACGGAGACTAGTATGAAGAAGATACGTCCTGTAAAATTAAGATACTTTGTTGTATTTTAATTTTGTGTTTGTAAATTCTGTACATTTAATTAAGTTAATTATCTATTGGTTTAATGAAAGTGGCTATTGTTCGTGACGGACAGTTCTAAGGAAAGGGCAGTGTTACGACAGTAGAAGTCACGTGATGCTGCTGGTGCATTGTGTTCGAGATGCACTCTTTGTTAGTATATAAGCCTGGCAGAGAAAGCCAGAGGGGAAAAATGAAGAGAGAGCTGTAGCTACTTTGAGTTCCATGTAATTTATGATTCTGTTAGTTTCGAGCTAGTGAGCCGTAAAGTGTGTGTTTTGCACTTGTCGAGAGCGAAGTAGTCGAGATTATGAATCGCTCTGATTTATAGTGTGTATTATAAAAGTTGTTAAGTTTAAAGTGACGAGAAACGTACTGATAGTGGAACTACTGTGTACTAAAAGTTTGTATCGAGGAAGAATAAACTGGTTTAATCAAGAAAGGACTTGTATCGCTGAAGATCATCAGAAAGAATTTCTACCGGAAACAAACAAACAAGCAGATATGTAACAGAGCTTACTTGAAGATACGCTAGAGGCTGTTTTAAAGGTAGCTTTATTAGTGCAGACAAATCGTCTATCAGAAGTAGGAAATGGGTAATTGGGTCTGGCATAGCCAGGTGGTCTGGGTGCTCGACTCGCAGTTTGCATGTCGCAGGTTCGAATCTCCGTACCACCAAACATGCTTGCACTTTCAGCCGTGGGAGCGATATAATTTGACGGTCAATCACACTATTCGTTAGTAAAAAGCAGCCCAAGAGTTGGAGGTGGGTGGTGATGACTAGCTTCCATCCTTTTAGCCTTTCACTGCTAAATTAGGGAGGGCTAGCGCTGATATTCCTCTTGTAGTTTTGCACGAAATTCAAAAACGAACAAAGAAACAATGACTATTATATTCATTGCCGACAATGTATTTTACTCAGTACTAGTGCTCATCAGGCCAGTTAAGATACAATAAGTATATTAATGGTTGGAATGCTATTTAATAAAGTTGGCTGCAATAGATATGGTTAATACAGTGTGATTGAAGTACAATTATAATCTCTTATTCTCGGAAATAACATAAGGTATCGAATAAAAAATGTAGAGTTAAAAATATAATAAGTTCATATTATTGCTTTATAACAAAGATAGTTCATTATTAAGATGGTAGGTAAAATAATAAGTCACTAGGGTCACAGTGAGCAGGTAGGTACCTGAGATTGGAGAGTTGTTAATGTTACTCTTATTTTTCAACAGATTTACAAGATTTACATTGGTGGGGGTCAAGGAAAGACTAATCTACTAGATTATAGTGTAATAAGAAAAGCAAAATTATATTGTTAATGGAGCCAAACTGGACTTTTGTTAGTAGTAGAATATCTCGGGAGTCAGAACGTTCACCTTTTTCTCATTTACTTTAACGATACTGATAAAGACATGATTTGTAAAGTGGAAAAGTTTGCTGATGACATCAACTCTTGGGTATTTCTATCTTATTGAAGATGTTGAAATGACTTAGATCAGTTTGTCAGGTATTTGGAAAATGACCTTTAATTATACTGAGTGCTAGGTAAGTAATTTGTGTTATCATAAATTATATCATACATTTAATATAGATGGAAACTCAATAAATCGCGTGACTGAAAAAGAGGATCTTGACATACTGGTGAACAAGTTCCTTATGCCATTGAAGCCGAACTCTGTTGCTGATAGTGAAGCTAATAGAATGTTAGGAAGTACTTATTGATATATTGATTAGAAATGAAACGAGGTAATTATCTCTCTGTAAAAGTCACTATTTTGGACTCATTTGGAATACTGTACACAGTTATGAACTTTCTGCCAAAGATGAAACAGCTAGTAATTTCACTATTTTTTAACTGGTATAGAGTATATTATTATTTAGGTGTATTCAGATAACTTTTATAAATTGCAGTGTAGTTTGTGGTTTAATGTTAAATGTGGGTTGGTCTAATGGATACATTTTCTCTTGTTAGGTGGTAAGTAGTTAAATTATTTTATTTTGGTTTGTATCAGCTGTGTCACAAAAAGATATTGACTTTATGTTTACTTTTTGAGAAAACATATCGGATGACAAGTGTAAGGACCTTGACGAAAAAGATGTAAAATGGATCTACTATGAAAAGACAGATTCTTGCTACCATTTGTATGAAGGAAGGTTGTGGGATAAATTATCCTGGTACGAGGCTGATGATTACTGTGCATTGTTTGATGCTCATCTAGTTTCAATACATTCGAAGGAAGAAAACGAGTTTCTGGTGAATCTGGTAAGTGACGACTTTTACTTTATGATACATATACGTAACTTCTCCCAAGGACCTTTGGAAAATATTTTGATGACAGGAAATTCGCATTTAGCATACGAATTTAACTTCAAGGAAATAATATCTTATGTATCTGTTTTACCAGCAAAAGAAAATCAAATTTACTTCCTCATTAAAGTTACTTTAAGGGAAAGAAGCCAAGAAATATAAATTTACAAACATAACACAAACATATTTCTTATCAACACTGTAAGTAATATTTTTTCATGTATATATCAACATAGACACAGTCATTTGTTTTCTTTAACACACACGAATCTGTTGGTTTGGATGCATGTATAAACATAACACAGACATCTCTCTTAATGCCACCATTGTAAGTATTATTTTAATTGAATGTGAAGGAGGATAGGACTTTACATTTAAAATAGTTAATATGGTTTCCATCAAGTCTCTCTGCTTTCTTACATACTCGTATATTATTATCGAAAAATTAACATTCTCTCTACCTCCCAGCTACTGAAATATTACTTTTTGAAGCCCAAAGATTTATTATGCTCACTAGTAGCTTATACAACATTATTGAAACAATAGGAGCCATTCTGCCCTCCTAATAGCTTCTTGAAGATTTATTCTATCAGTTTAAATCTAGACATTATTCTTCGAACAATAAAAAGTTCCTCTCCTTAGGTACTTTTATACTGTTCTTCAAACTTTAGGATTCATCTACACCTAATTATTCTTAAGACCTTAAGGTTCATCTTGCGCTCTAGTAACCTTTACATCATTACAGAAACATTATGATCCACTCTGTCTTCCTCTCCCCGAGTTATTTTGACACTATTCTTCAGACCTTAAGGTTCATCTTGCGCTCTAGTAACCTTTACATCATTACAGAAACATTATGATCCACTCTGTCTTCCTCTCCCCGAGTTATTTTGACACTATTCTTCAGACCTTAAGGTTCATCTTGCGTTCTAGTAACCTTTACATCATTACAAAAACATTATGATCCACTCTGTCCTTCTCTCTCCCGAGTTATTTTGACATTATTCTTAAGACCTTAAGGTTCATCTTGCGCTCTAGTAACCTTTATATCATTACAGAAACATTATGATCCACTCTGTCCTCCTCTCCCCGAGTTATTTTGACATTATTCTTAAAACCTTAAGGTTCATCTTGCGCTCTAGTAACCTTTACATCATTACAGAAACATTATGATCCACTCTGTCCTCCTCTCCCCACAGTTATTTTGACATTTTTCGTGAAACTTGAAGTTGTATTCGGCCCA